TTTTTCCTTAGAAATAAATTGAATATAAAATATTATAATATATAATATAATATCAAAAGTAAGTATAAAAAGAAATATAGCAAATAATAAGAAAGAATCATCTCTAATCAGAATCATCTCTAGAATTCCACAAATCAAATATATGAAGAAACAATAAATAGTAACAAAAAGATAAAAAAAAAAGAATTAACTATCAGCACTATCTATTGAGTAATAAAGACATTTCTTTAGAAATAGAATAAAATAAAGTAAGAATTGAATATGAATATTATCTCTTAATTGTTTTTAATAATTCTTTTAAAAAGCTATTTTTGATACTTGAAACATAATACTAATAATCAATTTTTATCCTATTTCTATCTTTTCATTATTTTTACATGTTTTATTTGATACTTTGAAGATAGCGCTAATTTCAATATTTTTATTCTATTTCTATCTTTTTTCCACTATTTATTTTAATTATCTATGTTTATTTTATATTCTACTTCTTTTGTTAAATTATTTTTATATGTTATTTAATAAAATATAGCAGTTTATATAACTGTGATTAATAATATTTTGATTTTTTTCTCTTTTATCTATGTAATATTTTACATTCGAAATGGAAAAATGTAATACAGAAAAAGGACTTTTAGTATTAAATCATGATGATCCTAACAAGAAACAATTTGTAAGATTATTTTATTAATAAATCAATTTTATTTTTTATGTATATATTTTATTTCATTAAAATTTTTGTATAAAATATATTAGTATTATGAATTTAAAATTTTAAAAAAAGAATTATAAGATATTATATATTTTCCATATATATAATATTTATATATTATATTTATCTTGTAATATTTTATATTTATTTTTAGTAATTTAATTTTAATGGTCTTATAATTTATTATTTATAGAAAAATTCAAAAAATAAAACATATAATATTAAAGAATGTTTTATGGAATATTCTTTAGAAGATAAGATTGAAGCTTTGAAAAATATGCTTGATTATAATGAAAAACATGTACAAAAATTACCATCACATATAACTAATATGTGTAATATTAAACAAATAATTGGTGTAAGATTTGAATTTATTAAAAAATTTATTTTTGTTATTACTTATTACTTTTACAATTATATTTTTTTCATATTTTGATTCATTTTGAAACATTTTAAAATTTTGAAATATTTTTATTGATGTTTATTGATTCTTTTTGTTTTTATGAGTAAAATTTAATAAAAACAATGATAAAAGTATTAATAATTGTATAAATAAACAATATATAAATATTTAAATATGATTTATATATTTTATTAATTCTTAAGGTAAAAGAATGTATACAACCAGTTCAAGAGACATCATTTCAGACAATTATTTCTGAATTAAAAAATACTATAATGAATAGTTATTGGAACAAAGAAGTTGGTAAAACACGTTATCAAATTCCATATCTTCCAATGGGTATGAATCCATTAGAAGTGACTTTTGGAAAAAAAATTAAATCTGGTATAAACTATCAAACATTATATTTGTAACAGTGAAAAAAAATAATATAATAATTATAATATAATTTAAATTATTTATTTTATAATGTTTATAAATTAAAAATATATTTATGAAGTATTTTCTATTAATATTAAAAGAGAGTATAGCTGAACTTCTTAAAGAAAAAATAGTGGAAAATGGTATTCCAGAGCAAGATATTATTGAGATGTATAAGAAAAGTCATAATAGATATTTGCCTGCAGAACAAATTAAAAGACAGTATGAAATAGTTAAATAATTAAATGGCAATTTTTAATTTATAAATTATATATTCTAATGTATTAAGATTTATTATAAAATTATATTTTTAGTTATAAAAAACCATTTGATCAAAATTTATGCTTTGGAAAATCATATAATGCTAATATCAGAGGTATGCGATTAAAAAGACTTCTAACATGGATTGATGCAGATCCTAATACAATTGCAAATTCTAATTTTGCAAAACCTTCATATTCTTATATTGATAAAGTAAAGTATTAAATACTATTATTAAAATAAAACTTGTTATCAAAAGATTATATTATAATTTATATAAGAATTTATAAAAAAAAAAAAATAAAAAACAATCAAATTTTTATTTAAATTAAAAATAATTATTGTGAAATATAAGCTATCTATATGTATGAAAATATTATATAAATATTGATTCTGAACAAAGTAATATAGAAATTCTTGCATTCAAGTTATTAAATTTTTTTAATCATTTGAATTTTTTTAGAAATTTAAAGAATTTATACATGAAATGAGACATGGTAAAGTTAATGAAAAAAAAGATGTATCTGAGAAATTAAACATTTTAAGTGATTGTCCTATAAATAATGAAGTTATAACACAACAAAATTACTTGCAATATATAAATAGTTTACGTCAGAAATTCAAAAAACAAGTTCCAGAAATTCCATATTTAGATATTTATGAAGACTTAATATGCCTTGATAAAGTATTGTTATTTTATTTTCTTATATTATATATATATATAATTAAAAACTTAAAAAACATAATGCTTTACTTCTATTGATTAAAATGATTTTAAATATTATTGTATTTAGGATTATACAGGTATTTTACCAGAAGATAAAGTTTTTTCTATCTTAGCTAAATATAAAATATATATAAATAAAACATTTTTAATACCTTTATTGGATCTTCTTCAAATATATAAAGAAAAAAATATAAAATATAAAGAGTTATTAAATCTTTTAAATTGGAAATATGATTTTCCTACATTACCAAAAATAGAAAGTAAATTTTTATGTTTTAATTTTATTATTTAAATTACAGAATTAAAAATTATATGAT